CAGGCGTAAAGATTACCAATTAAGGGGGGGGGGTGGGGGTGGGGTGGGGTGGGTGTGGGGGCTATTTGACTATCTCCATCACAAGCGATTGCGATCGATGACTACACAGTCTGGTCCGGCTAGCAGTCTTACTAATCTCCCATTTCGCCCTCCACTTTTGTTCGCGTCGTGTGCAAGCGTGTGCGCTTAATTTTAGTCGAGCGAAGCTGCGATTGGTACACCCAAGAGCCAAGACGATTATCGGCAATCCAGCCCTCTGGATTATCCACACCCTCCCCAACCCTGCTCACAACGCCTGCTTTTCGAGTCCATTGCTCATCGATCTCGTAATACACATTCAATTACTCGTCTTTGATGAACTGACCTCTTATAAATATCTTTGAGACATGTTTAGGGGCGCCTTGGCGTAGCAGAGCGGTTTCTAATTATGAACTCCACATAGAATCAGAGTGGTTGCAGTAGTTAATCGCATACTTATGTTTTATTCTGTCAGAGGAAAATTCAGTCCGCATCCGCGAACTCAAGAACTCTATCGAGATGTACAAAATGAGCCCCCCCCCCCCTCCAACGACTCTTGACCTGTGTCATTTACGTTTGGATAAATGAACTTTCTCTAATGGATTCCAATTCTACTCAGACCATTTAAAGTGGTTCCATTCATTTTGGGCTCTATTTTCACGTGACACGGGGTGTGTGATAGACTTGCATACATGTGGTGCACCATGGGCAAGGTGTACTCATACGGCAAAAAGTCTATTAACTTCTGTCTTCAAACTACCATGAACCCACTGTATGTCATATTCCACCAATTCTACAGTACTCACCCTACCCCTTCCTCTACCTTTGTGTCTGTCTCTCTTGTAACTGTGAAGCACTCATCTGTTCCCCTTCCCTCTCGAATTTTCGTGAGTTTGTTGTCACCCCCTCCCTCCCGCTGTGAGGCTTGAAGTCGACTAAAGGGCTTGTGATAACGATCATAAAACCTGTAATTTAATATAAATAAGTACATTTTCACATGTCACTTGATTTGCTCCAGCCTTATAAATGTAATTAGTCATGTGCGTTCTGTCTCGTGCCCAAACCTCTACTTCCGCCACTTAATCTTCGCTATCAATGCGTAATAGATTTCTATTGGCTCCTTAACGAGCACCTTCTACTAACTAATTTGTAATTCCCTGATAATGTGCTTAAAATCCTCCTGTAAACCTTCACTCAAATGACACCATAAGTCCATGACTGCATTTAATGCGTTCTTCTTGTCATTCATTTCACTGTAGCTCTATTCCAATGCTTGGCTGATACTAGTGAGAAAAACTCCCAAATACACCACTCTCCCGTTGAAGCCTGGCGAAGTCCAATGGTTCGAGCCTTTAGTTCATCGTGTTTACTCCTGTGTAAGAAGTCGCATGACCTCTAAGAATTGATATAGGAATAAATCGAATTCATGTGAATATTTCAATCAATGATATAATAAGGGCATTTCAAAGACATCACGTCAAGTCAACTTCAGCAGACACTTCTTTCTAAAGTAAAATTTCATCCTGGAAAAAAAACAACTTTTTTCGAGTCATAAGAACTACATTAAGTCGACTTTTTTTAATAAATTCCATTCAGTATTACAAATTAATGTATTTTTTCGTGGGAAAATAATCAATTTTCATATTTTCGCACAAATTTTTTCATTTACAAAAAAAAACAAGTTTTCAGTCATTCCTACTCTACCGATGAATGCAGGTGGGAAATTTTTGACCTCTAAACCATGCCCCAAATAGCATAGTAGACACGCGTTTACTGGAGTTCTAAGGACAAGACACTTGACATTTAAACTTTGGGACACGAAATCTACGAATCCATAGTTGCTTCTCCAGATTAAAAAAAAGTGCGCTATTTTGTAATGCTACGCGGCCTGTCGTTTTGGCCATATCGGATTTCGTGAATAGGCTAAATATGTTGAAGAAAAGAGGCAATTTTGAAATAAAATGATTTAGGATACCATGGACACTAAAATGACTAAAAATTAGAAAAAAAATACGAAAGGCATTTTAATCAATCATTGAGACGGATTTTAGACTATGCAATCTTAAGAATTGGTGCAGATTCATAATGGTACTCTGAAGATTAAGGGCCAAACAAGACGCCAAGATAGCAGTTTTGTTACTGCACTCTAACCTTGGAGAGATTTTTAAGAAAATGATGTCAAACTCTTAGGGGTGTGCGATAGACTTACCTCTACGTGGTGCGCCCTGGGCAACGTATACTCATACGGCAAAAAAGTCTTTTACCTGGCAGTTGACTTCTGACTTCAAACTACCATCACCCCATTGTATGTCATATTCGACTACTTCTACAGTACTCACCTCACCTTTTTTCTACCTTCGTCTTTGAAGCACTCTTCTGTTCCCCCCTCTCGACTTTTTTCTCCACTTTGATGTTCCTTCCCCTCTGTGAAGTCCGAAGTCAGCTAAAGGGCTAATGATAACTATCAGAACGCCTGCCATTTGATATAAATAAATAAATTTCAAACTCTTAAAGCATCCTCCCGCAATGTACATAAATCGAGATAATTGGAGTAGCCTACAGGGTTCTGGATCCTCTTCCACCTCCTTATATGATGTCAGCATGTTGTCAGCTACAATGGTAACATTATCACCACTTTTCATCCACTTACGGGACCTAAGCGCATCAATAGAATTGTGTTTATCGATTTCTTATCAAATCTGCTTTGCTGTGACTCAGCTAAATTTCTTGTGTAATTTGCACAATTGATTAAAAAGGCCTATATTTATTTATTTACATTAAATAGCAGGCTTTATGATAGTAATCATTAGACCTTTTGTGGATTTCGAGCTTTACAGAGGGGAGAAACATCACGGTCACAAAAATGTCATGAGGGTTGAACAGAAAAGTGATTCACAGATGTAAGAGAGACGGACAGAGAGGCATAAAGGTAGAGAAGAAGGTATTGTGAGTACTGTGGAAGTGGTGGAATGTGACATACAGTGGGGTCATGGTTGTTTGAAGTCAGAAGTCAACTTCCGGGTTATAGACATTTTTGCTGCATGAGTATACGTTGCCCAGGTTACACCACGTGGAGGAAAGTCTATCTTGCGGCCCTAAAAGGGTGATGTAGAAACGCTTTGTTCTAGTCTTGTTCATTCTACTTTTCCGTCCTCTCACCCCACCCCCTCTCCCCCCCCCCCTCACCCTCTTCACACGCTTATTAGTACGGGAAATAATGTTGAAATAGAGAAAGCGTACAAAATCGGAGCTTTATAATAGTGTGATCATCCGTTTCACCAGTTTTTTTTTCCTTTACATCCGTCCTATCTTCTAGTAAAAATCGGCACGACGGACCACGTATGACCTTCAAGCCCGTCAATTCTGTCTCAAAGCAACTGGCTTGTCTATTGCTTCTTCATCTTTCGATCTGTGATGACAAATTCGCCGTTTTAATTTCCACAGTTTTCGTGTGGACTCGGTAGGTCCGCTCAATAAAATATTCGTTTCAATTCTGCTTGAAATTTAAGTAAATTAGAAACAAATTTAGTTGAAGAAGTTTATAATAAAATCATTCTATTATTTCCCTATTTTGTTTACTTCCCCCGTGGAAAACGCCGTGCCCTTTTAAAAATTGCCCCCAACAAGTACCATGAATACATGGCCCTACTGCACAGTTTCTATGGCGACAATAGAAATTGTTGCATGTCCCATTTTGCCTGGATTCACAATGGTATTTTATGTGATTAAGAGTCAGCCACCGTTTGCGCCTTGGGGTTATTTATTAAAATGTGAAGTGAATTCGTGCTAGTACTTCATTGCTAAAACTTCCCTGGAGGGCACCAGTGTCATCGCGGCCGAACCAGGTAATCTCATACACTTTGGAATATTCTGGAAAGTGCAGAGTGTTACTGATAGTTCGGTCGTGAGTATAGATATCTCTCAGCCAAACGACAGCCAATAGTCGCAACAATGTAGCCAGGGGTTGCAATAATTGCTAATCACTCTATGCGTCCTGTTTCCTTGATATCTCAGAGACGTCTTTTCTACTTGAAAATTTTCCCAGAGGAAATTAGTTGAGGTTTAGTCGAAACACATTGGGACATAATCTACTACAAACTCTTTAAATGTGCAGGTTATTATAGGAACAGTGATTTATTAGATGCTATTAAGGGCACTAGATATTACCTTCTCCAACAGTTGTGAAGTTAATGATATTTGGACCGTTAATCTAACGTACTATAATACAGTATTTATTTATTTATATCAAATGGCAGACGTTTTGATAGTTATCATTAGCCCTTTAGCTGACTTCGGACTTCACAGAGGGGAAGGAACATCAAAGCAAAAAGAAGTCCAGAGAGGGGGGGGGGCAGAAGAGTGTTTCAGAGATATAAAAAAACAGACACAAAGGTAGAAAAGAGGTGAGGTGAGTACTGTGAAAGAAGTCGAATATGGCATACAGTGGGGTGATGGTAGTTTGAAGGAAGTCGAATATGGCATACAGTGGGGTGATGGTAGTTTGAAGTTAGAAGCCAATTGTCGATAAATAGACTTTTTTGCCGTATGTGCATGCTCTGCCCAGGTTGCACTACGTGGAGGTAAGTCTATCGCACACCCCCAACAATACAGTATTCTCTTCGCTAAAAGGCAGCGTCGATAAGTGCCTTTTTATTCGTTCATAGTCCCCTAGTCACTGCTCAAAATCCCATGCAACTGGAATTCGCTCTTTTATTGGCGATTAGATTGCTTTTAAAGCCGTTAATTCCGCCTACTGGTGTCGAACTTTTCGTTGGAGTGAGTTTGATTAGCTGGGCCAGTTTCGTAATGTCATGGTAAGTTGAAAAATGTCCAAAGACATATATATATATATATATATATGGTCTGCGTTTTTTTCCTTCAAAATCTCAGGAGAGCATGTAGGAATAGAAGTGTTCAATTAACTTAATGCCTTCGACTATGAGAAAAGTAGATGCTAACTTAAATGCTTAATTCATGACGGGAATTTATTAGACGTCAATCATATAGATGATAATCCATCTCAGGGACGCTTTGCTATTGGTCCGATTGGAACTAAAGGTGGAATTTGCTCGAGGGGATGGATGTGTCATACTACACAAGGTAAGATGCAGAAAAAAACAGCACTCGAAACACAATAGGATAGGTCTTGACATTCTCCCCAAACCCACCTTCGTCATCTTTTCATCGTGGAAGGACATGTATTTTCTTAAATTGAACTGATGCAAATGCCTTAAGGGAGACATTTACGACGTCTTGTTAGGTGGCTGGTACGGTGACTTTTGTGCGTGTCCTTATAAGGCCACGCATAAATCCTGAGAAGGACACCATACAAAGATGTAGCTAAACTTTGTTTGCTTGACCTCAAATGAGGTCACAGCGGTAAAGGTTGTGACATGTGTGCGATCGGGAAGTGGCCTAGAGTGGTTGCTAATACAGCTTTCGAAGTTACCGATGTCATGTGAAGAGCACCACAAATGTAATAAATTGTATTTTTTTTAATTACAAATGGTTATGAGCAAATTTAACCAGTTTTATTTAACGCTGCATTTTACATTGCGCAGTTGGCAGTTAAGTCGAGTCCGAGGACATCAACCTTCTGCCTGAGAGTATTCGTCATAACTCTCTTTAGGTTTCTACACCTTCCCTCAAACCATCTCACACCTACTTAACTACCAAAATTAGAAGTCGAGGTAAAGATTAAATACCTCTCTTGAATTTGGTACAGCAAACAATTAGATTCCTCTACACCTTCGAGATAGAGGTGTGGGATAGACTTACCTTCGCGTGGTGCACTCTGGGTAACGTATACTCATACGGCAAAAAGTCTATCAACTGGCAGTTGACTTTTGACTTCAAACTACCATCACCCCCAATGTATGTTATATTCGACCTCTTTCACAGTACTCATCTTACCTTTTCTCCACCTTTGTGTCTGTCTGTCTCTTTTACATCTGTGAATCATTATTCTATTCTCCCCATCTCGAATTTTGTCCTTTTGATGTTCCTCCTCCTCCTCTCTGTGAAGTCCAAAGTCAGCTACAGGGCTAATGGTGGCTATTAAAACGTCTACCATTTTAAATAAATAAATAAATAAATACTCCTTCTAGATTGTCCTAGTAATGAGCCGCAAATAGTGAAGTGAAATTCAGGATGATTTAACATCCAACTGCCCCTTGGTGCTCTATGGTCGGTCTTATTTCGTCAAGCCGCCCCACCCCCACCTCCTAATAAAAAATTTGGAAGGCCGGGAAATGTCTGAATAAGGCATAACATTGCTCCGTTTGGTTTTAGCAGACAATAAATAAAAATATGCAGTGCCCTAAATGTAAGATAAGGTAGAGACATCTTATCAATTTGAAAGCGTGGCACACCATGTTATCAAAGGATTGGTACTGTAGTTTGGAAGTCAGTTGATAATGCAGACTTGAATTAAGCTCAATGGTGAGAGGACAATGAATAACGGTTTTCTGACCTAGGAGATCATCTGCAAATCCATTTTAGCCGAACTGAGATTTTTTGTGTTTATCAGCACTCATCATTGAATTTTGATGACAGTTAAAATATCTAGCGATTTAGTTGCCTCTTCAAAATCTCCCCTAAATGGTGTTCTTTTTCAAATGTGATGCATTTTGTGCAAACAAAAGACTACAGTGGAGATGTGCGCATGGATACCTGTAGCCATTTTGATGTTTCTGTGGTCACTTCTTTCATAAAGCACCAACCAATCAGATTTCGTCTAGTCCTACTGCATGTATCTGCACCCTTTACAGGCAAATTAAAATGAAATTAAACATTAGATGGGCATAGCTTGTCAAAATTTTATTAATCGTAGCAATTTATAAATGCAAGCAGCAAGTTCGCATTTAGTGGTGTAGATTTTCCACTGAATTCCATTAACTTGCATTATAAATGCTGAGCCTTGATGTTTAAAAGGCCATGAAACCGCTTGCTTGTTGATTTTCGACCTATGTTTGGGTAGCTACTTCCAAAATAGTTGGTTCGGAGACGAAAGAGCTTAAGCAGTTCCTTGCCAAAATATTTCGCGGGATGAATTTCTTTTGAACTTCGATTCTACTTCGCCCTCGTAACCCTATCAACAGGTAATTATGTCGTAGCCACTGGTTTCCAGAGGAAAAAATACATTTCTGATTGACAGGATTTATTCCAATTAGTCATTTGTGTTTGCACTTTGACGTTTACCCGCGTATGGAATTGTAACGATATTCATTATTGATAAATTTGAAGATTTATAGCAAGAGGGAGGAGGGGACCGAACTGGGGTACCTGTGAGGAGGGGTTGGGGGGAAGAATAATGACCGTTAAAGACAAAGCAGGATAAAGTGGACCCGGTTTTCAGGTTCATAAATAGACATTCAATAGATTTTAAAGCATGCACGTAGCGGTTTAATTAGCATCTGCCTTTATCATGACTGGGAATAATTTAATTAAATTGTGCAATTAAATTGCCGATACTAGAGCCTACAGATTAATTGTATTCCGATAGTTAGTAAAAAAGTACTTTTTCAGACGTCTTTTCTCATCATTCCATCGATTTTTGAAAGCTCTTACCCGCCCCCCCCCCCCCCCCCCCCCCCCTACTTTAGCACCAGTTACACAGAGCGATTACAAATTCTAATCGCTGGGCGTGTACCGACTGTGATCGAACCCATTAAAACTGGCATGCTACGATGATAATAGGCCTCCTTCATACAAAAGCATTCTATTTGTACTCTGCTAGCTGTGATGAATACTGGAGATTCCAAACTAAAGTGACTCCACTTCCCGAACACATGATCTTTTCTACAACTTTTGAAAATCCGTCAAAATCCATCTACCTAGAAGTGTGCTTATTCTGAAATTCATAAAATAGACCATACACAAATGAAAAAAAAGGAAGACGAAATGACACGCACGGTAAATAAACACACGAAAACACAATCGTTGAGGTGAGGGAAGAAAACGCAGTATAGAGAGGAAGCGCGAGTATTTGTATGTACAACAATAGCAACACAGCCACCAGGTAGGGGTGATGGGGGGTGGGGGTGGGGTTTGGTTGGGGGGGGGGGAGGTGGTAGACGTGGATGGGAGAAGGATTTACTGGGAAACTCTTATTTCAAGCGACTCGAGGTACTTAAGCGCTTAATATCCTTGAAGTCTCTCAAAGCGATGAATCGACGATTTAGTTCACGTTCACAGCATCTCCTCTCAAGGTCGGCTAAAATGTGGGGAATAGATAAAACAGTCAAAATAGCCAAATTTTAATGGTAAACAGATTATTCCGCTATTTGATGGGCGTTCAATTTAACGATGGTGACAAAACTTGACGAAGAAATTTCCTTTTGATTGAAATGACAGATTTATTTGAGGCATTTTATCTTTTGTCGGCTACCCCCACTCAATTAAAGTTCAAGATACGTTTAAAAGGGGGGAGGGTGCGCGATAGACTTACCTTCACGTGGTGCATCCTGGGAAACGTATACTCATACGGCAAAAAATCTATTAATCGGCATTTGACTTCTGACTTTAAACAACCATGGCCCGACTGCTTATCATATTCAACCCCCTTCACAATACTCATCTTACCTTTTCTCTGCCTATATGATTATCTTCCACTTTACATCTGTGAATCACTCTTCTTTCCCCCCCCCCCCCCCCCCTCCACAGTTCAGTGACTACACAATCTACTTTGGTTGTCACTCAGTCTAGATCGGGTCTCAGGTAATATCATCGAACTGTCCTTTTGACCTTTAATCTAGGGGGTGGTAGGAAAAATGCTTAAGCGATAGCGGGTGTTAGTTTGACAAATTTGTGGAGTGTACAACACTACTGAGGCTGATCGAAGAAATTTGGGTGGGTTAAATCATTCTGGAAATTGCTCACGTGCTGCCAAAAGTGGATTGAGCCAAACCGAATGTGTGCGCGCAGACGCCTCACAGTCAATTAACGATCAATACTTTTGCAGCTTAGTACTGATTACACACAAATCGCAAACATCTTTACCTTAATCCATTTCCACACGATATCTCCCGTGTCCCTGCCATCTTGGAAATAGCCCAGCCAATTCTTTTGAGCATGGTAGTTAGGCTTCTATGAGGATTAATGAGGTTTCTAAATTCCAATTAACTATCCCGACAAAGAAACAGATTTTTGTTCCTTGTTTAAGTATTAACAGACGAAGAAAACGAACTGGTACATATGCTCCCATTATCACTGTGCTAACCAAGATGTGTAAAAAAGTGGTAAATTTTGGCTTATTCCAGGGAGTTGAACTGGAGCAAGAAAAATTATCCGACTCGGATTTTCCATCTCTACTTCCATACTCAAAATGAATCGGATATGTAAAGGGGCACCTCCTTCATATCCTTCCGATTGGAACAGAAACAAAGAATGCCATTTTTTATTTGAAACCGGCGTGAGATGCTTTATTTGTTAATTCCGCTTTCCACAGGTAGCACAAACGCCGACTTACAAATCATCATCTTTGGTGGGAAACTCCTTGAGTATGTCTTTAGTGTGGATTGAGATGATTAAGGACTTACATTCTGTGGATTCCATGTGGTATTTAACCTCCTTGAAGGTCATATTGTTGAGTTTCATTAGGAAGGCTTCAGTGATTTCACTGTGTCCGTTGTCAATCAAGGAATCCCTCATGATCTAAAGGTCATTTGACAATGGAGCAGGTGAACAGTTCAAATACACACTAAAATATCTTTCGCCAACTTACACTTTTACCGTTGCCTAGTCCATTTTTGTGGGCATCTCCGTTACCGTTGGCACTAAAGAGAAAAAGATGTTAATTCTAGCCATTTCTAAGGCTAAGGTAATAGAACAAGGTAGCTACTTTTGACAAGGAATGACTAATTATGATTTTGGCGTAAATTGAAGGCAGAGATTATGAGTGGACAAAGAAAGATGGAAATTGATACCTGTGGCACTAACGAATAACTTGCCCCCCCCCCCCCCCCCCCCCCCTCCTCCCCTACTCCCCCCACCCCCTACGAGGCTATGGGTCATGAGCTTCATACCCATTACGATCAGTTCTGGCAAAATCCGAGTTTCAATCAGAAAGACTCGTCGATGATATCCCTTTGCTCAAAATGAGCGTTGAATTGCCGGGGGGGGGGTGTTTGCTGCAAAAGTTATATTGGAACTGGCCACTCTGAGGGACGCTTGAAAGTAGGGAAACTTGAAGTGGAGTAGAATGATCCCACAAAGTTAGCAAATACTTTCACAATGTGAAACAACCTGACAAACACCTGACATATATGGTAATTATTCTCCTTAAATCAATTTAGCTTTTGAATAATTTTGATTGTATTGGCGATTTGCAGCCATGTTTGCAAAGAATTGCCTTGTGGTCTTGCTAATTATGTGAACTTTTCAATGGCCTCTTTGGATTTGATTGATGTGAATCATTTTCAGGAAGGTCGAAGCAACGCAATAGAATAGAGAAAACTTTTATTCCAACTTCAATGTGGCCATTCGACTTATCTTGGGCATTATCACAGTCTTTTTTTTGAAAAGAAGCCTTCGCACACTTTACTTTTAATAAAACCTGATGATCTATGATAAAATCTTGTTCGTTCTCCACCAATAAAACAGAAATGCTGCACATTCAGTGGTGTATGAGTGTGTATGAGTAGACGCATTGTACCTCCTCCTTACTCAAGTCAAGTGCTGGTGATCTGCTGTTGTTGGAACCGGAAAAGTTTAGGTGATATTATGGGGTGCCTGATAGACTTACCTCCATGTGGTGCACCCTGGGCAATGTATACCCATATGGCAAAAAAGTCTATTTACCGGAAGTTGACTTCTGACTTCAAACTACCATCACCCCACTGCATGTCATATTTGACTAATTTCACAGTACTCACCTCACCTTTTTTCTACCTTTTCTACCTTCGCCTTTGAAACCCTCTTCTGTTCTCCCCCCCCCCTCCCTCTCAACTTTTTTTCACTTTGATGTTCCTTCCCCTCAGTGAAGCCCGAGGTCAGCTAAAGGTCTAATGATAACCATCAAAACGCCTGCCATTTGATATAAAATAAATAAATAAATGATAACTACCATGGAGCCTTCCGTTTGGTATCAATAAATAGTGATATTACATGCTAGTAGTCCAAATTTATGGAGAGATTCACTAGCATTGGTTACCACGGACATGAATTCACTCAAGTGCCCAGGTGTAAATCTTGATAATTGAAAAAAACGGTATATTTTATTAGTAAATAGTACATCGTAGCCCCAATAAAATTTTTGAAACCCAATTAGCGTAAACTATAAATAAAAATCAATAAAGCAAAACCGATTCCATATGTAGGAGTAAAAGTAGAAATATTAAGTTTTCGTGATATTTGGGACCAGCTTTCAAGACATGCTCTTCATTTGCACCAAACAAAGATCGGGTCTGCACGAAAAAATAACTAACTTATTTGTGGATCTGAAAGATTTTTTTAGAAATGCGTTTCTTCATATTTCTGATTGAGTAAAATTGATAAACAAACATAAAATGTGAAAACTGTTGTTGTAGCTCCATTAGAGGGGAGACGTATGTTAAGGTATCGATTTTTAGGTCTAAGTAAACATTTGTACCCTAACGGTACGATATCTTGAAGGCATGCATCAAACTTTTGATCAATTAATAGTTCATTCCAAACTTATTAAAATTCTCCTTAGTGAGTACATCAAGACCGTATACTTGGAATCAAACCCTCTAGACAATGACAAACATACATGATAGGAGCGGCCGCTTGAAGACTTCCAGCATTTCGTCGTATGATTACAGGCTGCTCAATTTCTTTTTCCAGTTCTTTGCGTCTTCTCTCCTCCTCCATCTCCTGATGCACACCCAACTCCGATTTGACATCTCTCACATTGGCCTGCACCCTCTCAAAATTTGCCCGTAAATCGTCGGGTTTGAGAACGTGGATTTTACTCTGGATACGTTTATCCAGTTCATTAATCTCAAACATTGCTTGGTCAACCTGCAAAGTAAACGTACTTTCAAAATATGTTGAGACATATGGATGGAAACATGTGAATCTCCATGCGATGTATCACCATGTTTACAGACATTATTTTGGGTTAATATAAAATGGTTCATTGAAATTGTATCACATTTCTCCAAGTAGGCTAAAAGAATCCCACTTTTAAGTGAAAATATTTAATTTATAAAGATGCCATATTTACGAAACAAATGAAGTTGCGGATTATCCCACAGTTTCATCGGTGTTGGAACACTAGACCTGATTGTATAACTTTATTTCAGTAGTAATGGTAAATATGAATAGATGCTGAATTTGTTATATTGAAAATAATTGCCCAAATTATTCAATACAATATTGCCTTTCAGGTTGGGAGGCATAACTGAAATTTTGCGCTAAAAATACGAATAAATTTTTGATAACTCTATTGCAAATGGAGATGATTTTAAATATCCAAATGGAAAAGCGCATAACTGGTGAAATAAGATGTTCGAGAGGGGGCGGGGGGGGGGGGGGGGGGGGGGGG